TTTTCCTTTTGCTTTTCCCTTCCTTCTTTTCTCCATGCTGGGTATGGTGGCACATGCCTGTAATCCCAGCACTCAGGAGGCTGAGGCAGGAGGATCGTTGCACAATCAAGACCAGTCTGGGCTACAAAGTGAGCTCAAGGCCAGCCTGAGCTGCATAGTGAGACCCTGTCTCAAAAAGACAAAAAAATACACAAAACCTTCTTTTCTCCATTTGCCCGACCCAGTTTGTCTTTCCTCTTGAAGTTTCTTCCCATTTTACAATATTGTACACTTTGGACCTTGTTTATTCTCTCAGCTTCTCACACTAGGAAGACAATGTGATGTCTACACATTTGCATCCAGTTTATTTTACTTATGAGTATGGTCTCAACTTGCATCCATTTACCTATGAAAGTCTCCAGTGTATCCTTCTTTATGGCTGAGTAGTACTCCATTATATAAAAAGACCATATCTTTTGTATCCATTCCTTGGTTGATGGGCATTTGGGTTGTTTCTAAGATGTAGCTATTACAAATTGTGCTGCTATAAACATGGGTGCACATACATCACTGTGGTACAATGTTTTTAATTCTTCTGGGAAGACACCCAGAAGAATAGTTCGATCAACAGGACCTCCAATCCTAGTTGGAAAATCTCCACACTGATTTCCTCAGTATTCCAGTCTACACTCCTACCAACAGTGGAAAAAGGTTCCTTTTTTCCCACAGCCCCTCCAACATTTGTTATTGGTTGATTTCTTCATGGTAGCCATTCTTTCTAGAGTGAGATAGAATCTCAGTGTTGTTTTAATTTGCATCTCTTGAATGACCAGTGATGTGGAACATTTTTCATATATTTATTTGCTGTCTGTATTTCTTCATCTGAGAAGTGCATATTCATCTCAGATGCCCATTTTTGGATTGGGTCTTTAAATTTGCTGGGTCTAATTTTTTTTTAGTTCTTTGTATATTCTCAATAGTAATCTTTTGTCTGAGGAACAACCAGCAAACGTGTTTTCCCACATTGTGGGCTGTCTCTTTGCTCTGTTGTGGTTTCTCTTGCTGTGCAGAAGCTTTTTAATAAGACGAGATCCCAGTTGTTGATTCTTTGTGATAATTCCTGTGCAATCGTGGTTTTATTCATAAAGTCTTCCCCTACACCAATGTCTTCAAGAGAAAAAAAAGTTTTTAAAATAAATAAAGGCCTTGGGATATAGCTCAGTGTGAAAGCCCTGAGTTCAATCCTTAGTACCACAAAAAAAAATAATAATAATTAAAAAAAAATAAAAACGGAACAAAAAATATCACATACACACAGACCAGGGGCTAGGGTTGTATCTCAGTGGTAGATGCCTTGCCCAGCAAGCACGAAGTCCTGGGATCCACCCTTGACACCAGAAAAAACACCAAAACTCAAATTTGAGCTATTCTCTGATAATCCCCAAATTTGTGTGCCTGCTTCTAAACTGCCTGTGTGGAATGCTAACTGCACATCACTGCCGCCTGTAATTTCCACAGGCACCTCCGACTCAGAGCATCAAACTGCTGCCCACTGGGCCGGCTCTTTTCCTTCAGCCTTTCTTTGTCCTGGCTAATGCCATTGTTGGCAGTGGAGCGTCTCAAACTATGAACCTTCGACTGATGCTTCTCTCTCAATACAGAGCCTGACTGTATCCTGAAATATCTCTCTCAGCCTTCCCCTTTTCCCTCTTTTCACTGCTCTATCATTCTCTCTCTCTCTCTGTCTCTGTCTCTTTCTTTGATACAGGGTGTGACAGTGTAGCCCAGGCTGGCCGTGAGCTCAACAGTCCTCCTGCCTCAACCTCCTGAACCTTGGGATTATAGGGATATGCCATCATGTCCAGAAAAACCATTTCTTCTCCCTCCCTTTTCCTCCATCCCTCTCTGTGTTGGGATCAAACCCAGGGCCTCATGCTAGGCAGGTGCTGTACCCTGAGCTCTGCACTGAGCTAGCTGTCATCACCTTTAACCCGGAGCACTGCATTTGCCGCCTGCCTGGTCTGTCTCTAGTCCCCGCCCCCTTACTGGGAGTTGAAACCAGGGCCATCAGGGGAACTACATCCCCAGCCCTTTTTTCTTTTGAGACAGGGTCTCACTATGTTGCTAAGTTGCCCAGGATGGGCTTGAACTTGTGATCCAGAGCACTGGGATTACAGGCATGTACCAGCACAAATGGCTTTCTTTTTCCAGTTAATCTGTCATTCTAAAATGCTGCCATCCTAGCACAGATCTGAGCGTGCCACAGCATTTGTTAGAAACCTTAAGCAGAAACAGAATAGCAAGACACTTCCCCGTTACTGCTGGATGAAGATTGGCATCTTTTGCAGTCTGATGCTGCAGTGTGATGTTCAGGCTTCCTGCCATTGACCTCGGCTTTAATTGTCCTTTCTGAACTCCTTGTAAATCCTCTCCTACTGGATCCTTCCTGCGCGCTCGTCACGTAGGGCCACTTGCCTGTATGAAAACACATCTCGCCTGTGTTTATGCTCTTCTCTCTGGAAGGTCTTGTTACCTGTTCTCGCCCTCTCAGACTCATATCCTCTTCAAGGTGCAAACCAGCTATCGCTTTTTCAACAGAGATTTCACAGGTAACTGTCAGACTGACATGGACCTTCTTTGTGCTTACATAGTGCTTGTTTATGTTTTTCTCTTGCACTCTCACACCAGATTAGAAGTAGCAGTCTGTGACTGCCTGCTTTTGTAGCTATGAAGTCTGCTCAGGGGCCATTCCTGGTACCTCAGTGCTGGGCCCATGGCCTTGTATGTAGTAGCGGCACTGAGTGAACACAGTCCGGGCCCAGGTCCCTAGACCCTAGGAGGTTCAACCTCACCCAGATGCAAGCAGACCAGTCACATCGCCTCCAACAGGTGCACAAGCCTTTCCCTCCTCACCCCCGGCAATATATCTTCTAGGCGATAATTTAGCATAATCTCTGAGGTCATCTCCAGGCAACTGGTGGGGTAATTTAATTACCCACATGTTCTCCAGCACTTTAAGTGTGGATCTCTAATCTCAACCAGGGATAGAAAGAAGAAATCCTCAGCGGGGAACTGGATTCATGATGAGGGAGGAGTGCGGATTTCCCAGATGGGATTCACATAGAAACATGGCCCCTGGCCAGGTGTGGTGGCACACACCTGCAATCTCAGCACTTAGGAGGCTGAGGCAGGAGGATCCTTTCCAGTTCAAACCAGCCTGGGCTGTAAGGTGAGCTCAAGGCCATCCTGAACTGTATAGCAAGACCCTGTCTCAAAAAGATTCAAAAAAAAAAAAAAAAGAAGCAGAAGAAGAAAGAAAGAAACATGACCTGAATGATGAACTAAGCCCTGTGCTGGTCTAAAGTTGGACACAGTCCTGAGGTGACTGAATGGCACAGGCACAGGCCTGCACTTTGGAGACCTGAGTTTCTCTTAGCAGTATGACTTTGGACAGGTTGTTTATCCACTAAGGGCCTTACTTCCTGAGTTGTGAAATTAGGGAATTGGGCTTGACCAAGGGCTCCCGAGGTAGTAGTAGAACATGGGTCAGAGAAACCTAGGTGTCTTTTGAGAAAGTCTGCTTAGCGAGGCATAAGCAAATACCCAAAGTGGGGATAGGCATTCACAGACTGTGGCCCACACTGCCATGCTTGAAGCTCTGTGACCAAGGGGTGGAGTAGAAGTGCCTAAAACCCATACTGAAATCCATCTGGCTCTCCTGTTTCATTCCTTTTTTTTTTTTTTTTTGTCTTTTTGAGACAGGGTCTCGCTATGCAGTTCAGGCTGGCCTTGTGCTCACTTTGTAGCCCAGGCTGGTCTCGAACTCACAAGGATCCTCCTGCCTCAGCTTCCTGCATGCTGGGATTACAGGCGAGCACCACCACACCCGGCCCAAAAAAATCTTAGTTTTTAAAAAAATATAATCTTAGTTTTATACTGTATATAACCATAGGGTTACAAGGACATCTACAATTAGACAAACATAGGTGAGACATTTATTTCTGTATAATTATTTTAACTTATTAGGAAATACTTCTGCCACCCAAAATAGTGATAACAACAACAACATCTCCCCAGTTTAAGAATAAGATACTGTTAGGGGCTGGGGATGTAGCTTAGTGGTAGAGTGTTTACCTAGGATGTATTAGGCCTTGCATTCTATCTATAGTACTGGGGGAAAAAAAATTCTGTAATCCAGCTTCTGGGAGGCTGAGGAAGGAAGATTGCAAGGATTTTTTTCTTTTTCTTTGAAACACGGTCTCCCTGTTTAAACTGAGTTAAGGCTTGTCTTGAATTCACTATATAGCTCAGGTTAGCCTTGAACTCACAAGGATCTTCCTGCCTCAGCCTCCCAGAGTGCTGGGGTTATAGGTGTGTGCCACCATACCAGGCAAGATTGCAAGTTTGAGCCCAGCCTGGGTAATTTAGTGAGACCTTGTTTCAAAATAAGAAATGGGCTGGGAGTGTTAGCTCAATGTGAAGGCCTTGTCTGTAATTCAGTGTATCCCCCTACTGCTTTGTTGTCCTTATTTTACTCTTTGAAATTAAAAAAAAAAAACAACAAATACAGAAAAAAAAAATGTGAAGGCCTTGGGTTCAGTCTCTAGTACCGAGAAAAAAAAAAATCCAGAATAAGACACCCTTGGTTTTGTGTGTGTGTGTCTTTTTGAGACAGGGTCTCGCTATGCAGTTCAAGCTGGCCTTGAGCTCACTTTGTAGCCCAGGCTGGTCTTGAACTCAGAACGATCTTCCTGCCTCAGCCTCCTGAGTGCTGGGATTACAGGTGTGCGCCACTACACCCGGCAAGACACCCTTGTTGAAATCCTTTAAATGTTTCTGCTGACACTGTCTTTGCAGAGATCAACACTAGTATGAATTGCAGCCTTATTCTACATGGGACGGTTCCTCCCTCACAGGAAGAACGCAGAAAAACAAATGGCTGCTACCCAGAGATACTTTCAGAGCTAAATTCAGACATGCAGACTCATTGATCCACCCTCTCCTACTCTGCCCAGAGAGCGCTACAGTGTTGGCACACAAGTACCTCAACACACTGAGCTCCCTCGCAGATACTGACAGGCTCTGTCACATGGCCACATGGAATGACACATGGTCTCATCCATCAAAACCATGACACACAGACACACGCTTACTTCTAGCAATTTTCTATAGAGACATAAACATATGCACACTCAGGACCCTGCTGTATAGCATGTCACAGGTACAAATGGCCACAATCCCCAGGGGCCGCCAAACTTTCTGGCAAAGAAAAATCAAGACAATAGTGAGGGGGCTGGGGATTTAGCTCAGCGGCACAGTGTCTGCCTGGCAAGTGCAAGGTCGTGAGTTTGATTCCTGGTGCTGGGGGGAGGGTGGAGACAACAGTGAGAAGCTGGGCGTGGTGGCACATGTCTGTAATCTTAGCACGTGGGAGGCTGAGGCAGGAGGATCATTGCAAGTTCTAGACCAGCCTGGGCTACAAAGTGAGCTCAAGGCCAGCCTGAACTGCATAGCAAGACCCTGTCTCAAAATAAATAAATAAATAAATAAAAAGACAACAATGAGAACAGCTGTAACTTCTAATCACCCCCGCCCGCACCCTCACTTCCAGGCTGTGGTTTACTCGCCCGACTCAGGACCTGGGGGAACTCAATTCCCGTCTGGACGTCATTCAGTTTTTTCTGCTGCCCCAGAATCTGGACATAGCTCAGATGCTGCACCGGCTCATGAGTCACATCAAGAACGTGCCCGTAAGCCCA